TCTCTCTCTCTCTCTCACACACACACACACACACACTGCACCTAGGACCCAGGATCCAGGACCTAGTACCTAGGACCTATAATAGTATGTCCTAAGACCTAAGACCTAAGACCCAAGACTCAAGAGCGAGTTTGAAGTTCTAGACTCTCTGGGTTGCTGACTGGGATCTCCTCAAAAGCAAAGAAGTGCGGATATTATTGGTACGATGGATGGATCGGTAGCGGGCGATGGATGGATTGGCGCGGGGTGGAGGACACTTGGGTGGTGCTGGTGGTGCTGGTGGTGCTGGTGGTGCTGGTTGGTGCCGGTGGTGCCATGGTGGGTTGAGATGCGAGATGACCGGTCGATCGGAAAGTCTAGAGCTGCATCTAGCTCCAAAGTAACACGGCCTTATTACCTAGTACTATTCTCCAGTCGACCCAGGCCACCCACACCCAGGCCACCCAGTCACTCCGCCCGCTCTGGATTTAGATTCTCGCTTGGAGATTCAAGATCTAGACCCGACATCCAGACCTGCCCCTGGACTCGGGATAAAGTACTACTAGGTACAGTAGTGACTGAGGATCAAAGGTTCAAAGGCCAAGTTGGGTTAAACCACGGCAGAATAACGTGTAAGTAGTAGTACTGCAGTAGTCCGTACTACCTACTACGTAGTTTTAATTAATAAGTATACTTGCATGCACGCTCTCTCTCCGCTCCGTATACCGGTACTCCTGAGGGAGCATGATGTTCTAGAAGACAACCCTTCTTTCCGGAGCTTCTTCGCTTGTTGTATTGACATGACGAGACCCATTCCCCCGACAGACCGGCGTGAAGAACACTCGTTCCTCTGCCCTTGTCCTATCTACCTACCGGTACCTGAGAGCGTATTTATATGTCGTACCATGTCTTATGTCTTGATGTGTAATTGCTCAATCCCTGTGATATATCACTTTCCATGTCCATCCAACATGCAGGCCTATCGCCGATGCATTTGGCACCTTGAAACCCCGTCTGGCAATATTCCGCGCGCAGGTACCTAGCCCAAGAATGTACGGACTGTACGGACTGTACGGACTGTACGGACTGTACGGACTTTACTCCGTAATCAGGTGGCTTTGAAAATTAGCTTACCTCCGCCTCAGCTACTTGCTTAGAGAGAGAGAGAGAGAGAGAGAGAGAGAGAGAGAGCGAGACAGGAAACGATGGCGTGTCTGCAAATCATTTCCTACAAATTAATACAACCTCACACTATGAAGCCGTATAGTCGTGTTCGATTGATCACCACCGAGGAATATCGGTTGCACCACGTGATCTACAGCGCGGTGAGCGAAAAGGGTTGTTGCCACGAACGCGTTCTGCCCACCATGACGATGCACCACGTCTCACCATCAATCAGCCTCGAAAGGTTCCCTCGCGCACCTCCGGCCGACCACATCCTCCAAGATGCTACAAACCTTTCGCCCTAAACAGTACCAGATTTTGAAATATCAAATATGTCCATTCGCGTGCTCTTACGCGAACATCCTCACCGATCGATTGCTCTTGTAACGCCCTCCCACGCCCTCATATTCCGCCATAGCCCTACTACCAATGAAGCCATTGCAAATGGCTCCCTTGCTTCCGTGCAGTCCAGTCAAGGCCGCTCATCCGTAGATGGTGCTGCGCCGAGATACATGGTCGAGTTTGCAGATGTCTCGACGGTCGACCTGGGCGAATACCGAACGTTGAGCCCAGTGCCTATTCGCGGAACGCTGGGCTTGATCACTATCAACAATGATGTTTTTCTATGCGTGGTGACAGGCGCCACCAAGGTGGCGTCCGTAAGGCCGGGAGAGACTGTGGAGAAGATCTTTGGGGTCGAGTTCTATTGCCTGAATAGTTACGAGTACGATAGTAGCTTCGGAGATCCGCTGGATCCGTACGCGGCAGAGAGTCAGGAATACGGACACAGTCGGAGAGATCCGCTGGAGCATCCATGTGTGGAGTTGCAAAAACTACTAGGAAATGGCACTTTCTATTATTCTACGGACTTCGATTTAACAAACAGGTTGCAGGACAGGTTTGGAGCTGTGAAACCTTCTTCCTTACATCCTACTAATATCTTGCAGATCTACAGAAGCTACCACATTCGAAATAGATAACCTGGACGACTCTTTCCTCTGGAACTCTTACATGATCAGCCCCTTGGTCAAGTTTCGAACACGGCTATTACCACAGGAGAGGGCGGCATTGGACAACTCGAGGATCCTGACATCTGCTATCCGGGGCTTCGTCCTTAGCATTGCAATACCCCCATCGTCGGCGCCTTTGCGATCGTCGAGAATTGGACTCCCTTCATCCTTGACGCTTATATCACGGCTGTCGTGCCGGAGAGCAGGCACTAGATTCAACAGTCGGGGAATTGATGATGACGGAAATGTCGCGAATTTCGTGGAATCCGAGACCATATACTGGAGTCCTACTGTTGTTGGACAGTCAGATCCTGCGACGCCGGAAAAGCAGTCCGGGATGTGCTTTTCTTACGCACAGATCAGGGGATCTGTTCCAGTCTTCTGGGAACAAGCCGCTGGCCTCCTTCCCGGCCAGCAAAAAATAACCATCACTCGGTCACCAGAGGGTACACAGCCCGCTTTTGACAAGCACTTCAGAGAGCTCGAGCAGAACTATGGAGCGGTCCATGTGGTGAATCTCCTAAGCGAGACGAAGCCTGGCGAAGCAGAATTGACGAATCTCTACCGATATGGAGTGCGGCATTCTGCATTGAATCAAGATGAAGGACAGAATTCGCAAGACCACCAGCTTCTGCGGGAGACCGAATTTGATTTTCATGCGGAGACCAAAGGGCCGAACGGATACGAAGCAGCAAGCTTCATCCGGAGACTCATTGAGCATTCCGCTGAAGGCTTCGCTTATTATTTGTCAGAGGATATCGACGATTCTGTCGAAGATAGCCATGAGAAGTCGAACCGAAGGATAGTCGTTGAGTTACAGCAAGAAGGAGTCTTTCGTACAAACTGTTTGGATTGCCTCGACAGAACGAATCTGATTCAAACGATCATTTCGCAGATGGCCATGGAGTCCTTCCTCGCGCACCAGAGAGAGCGTGCAGCCTCAGACTTCTGGATGCGCCACTCAAGTTTGTGGGCCGACAATGGTGATGCCCTTTCGCGAATTTATGCTGGCACAGGGGCTCTCAAATCGTCCTTTACACGGCATGGCAAGATGTCGCTCGCCGGGGCAATAGCCGATGCACGAAAAAGTGCTACCCGACTATACATTAACAATTTTGCAGACAAGGGTCGCCAGAACACCATTGATGTCTTGCTAGGCAGGATGCTTGGCCAAGCCCCAGTCCATTTGTTTGACCCTATAAATGACTACGTGACAGCAGAACTTGCCAAGCGAAGTGCAGAGTTCCAATTCTCGGAGACAATCAATATGTTGGTAACCTGTTCCTGCATGAGATTCGGAAGCTAATGTTCTGAAGCTGGGCCGGAACGTTTAATCTGAATGGTCGGACCACAGGAATAGACGAAGATCTATCCGCATGGCTCTGTCCAAAGCTCGCTGCTTCCCAGCTGAATCCCGAGATTGTCGCTGTTGGCTTTCAAGAGATTGTGGAACTGAGTCCCCAGCAAATTATGAACAGCGACCCGACCCGAAAGCAAGCTTGGGAGCGGGCAGTACGGAAAACCTTGAACAAACACGCTCGTGCCGCTGGAAGTGAACACTATGTCTTGCTAAGAAGCGGCCAGCTCGTCGGCGCCGCGCTTTGCATATTTGTCAAGTCATCCGTTCTCTCCAACATCAAGAATGTTGAGGGTTCTGTCAAGAAAACAGGAATGTCCGGCATGGCAGGCAATAAGGGAGCTGTTGCCATACGAATGGACTATGCCAGTACCCAAATTTGCTTCGTGACTGCACACCTGGCTGCTGGGTTTGCCAACTACGAGGAGAGGAACAGGGATTATAGTACCATTCATCATGGACTACGGTTCCAGAGAAACAGAGGAATTGATGATCATGATAGTGTCATCTGGATGGGAGACTTCAACTACCGAATTGGACTCGGGTCAGACAAAGTCAAACAGCTCATTAGCAATGGCGACCTGGAGAGTCTCTACGACAACGATCAGTTAAATCTCCAGATGGTAGCTGGACTTACGTTTCCCTACTATTCCGAAGCTCGGATAACTTTCAATCCTACCTACAAGTATGACCTCGGGCACGACACTTATGACACCTCTGAGAAGGCCCGAATCCCAGCCTGGACAGATCGGATATTGAGGAAAGGCACCAATCTGCGACAGATCAACTACAACACGGCGTCACTCCGCTTTTCGGATCATCGGCCAGTCTATGCCACCTTTCAATGTACAGTAAGTATTGTCGACGAAGTTCATCGAGAGGCCCTCAGCCGGGATCTGTACGAAAGACGTCGATCAGAAGTAGGCGGAACCTCTGCGAATAACCCGAATGACGATTCCGATGACGAAGACCTCATCGGCTACGATTCTATCGAACCTGGGCTCCCCCCAGCAAGTTCTGATACTCGCAAGTGGTGGCTGGATAACGGACAACCGGCACGGTCGAATATTCAGCCCCCCGGGGAAGGACTGGTCTTGAACCCTCATCGACCTTCGAATCCTTACACACCGACAGACGAACCCGACTGGGTGACCGTTCCTAGGATGGAGCAACCTCGAAGGCAGACTAATTCTTCGGCTGCACCCCCTCCGCCCAACCCGCGCCCCTCGGCCTCGGCTACAACGAACGGGTCCCGGAGGCTGCCACCTGCCTTTGATTCTTCTGTATCCGTCTCAGCAATAACCAAGAGTCTAGCGCAGAACTCCATCGGGGATAGTGCCACCAGGGCGATTTCAAGGCGCCAGAGTCAGCCAGCACTCAACGAGCGTCGCTTTTCAGCATCGACTTCTAGTTCAGCGGGTAAGAAAGCTCCACCACCAGTTGCTCGCAAACCGATACATCTCTCAGCATCTCCCTCGTCAACTTCTTCACCAACCCTGTCTACTGTGACCGCAACCTCGCAACCTCGTCCATCCTATTCGACGCAGAAACCACGGCCGACAACACCCGATCACACCGGCTTCGCACCTCCGCCAAGACGGACGACGGGTCTCGGGTCGACGATAGGAGACAGTTATGGGAGAAAGGGCGTCGATGATAGAAGGGAAATGGAACGAGATGTGGTGGTACCCCTTCCACCGGCTCAGGGAAAGAAGGCAGGAAAAAAGGCTGGTATGCATTGGGCCCACGCTGGCGATGGGTCAGAGGATGAAGGGGGGAGACCCATGCTTCCCCCTCGAAGGCCAACCACAGACTTGCTGGGTAACGATGATGATTCTCAGATGCAAGGCTGGGCGCCTCTGCAGCCAAATTAAGTGCGAAAGGATTAGCACTCTAGGCAGGCCAGTAAGCGCATCCACGGCTTCAAGGACGAGCATTGGGGAAGAGATGACTATCCTCGTGACAATTGGATACCAACGCCCGGGAGAGATTGGGAAGAAAAGTTATTGGCGGGTGGTGTCGGCAATGACAAGGGCGTTCCGTTGTAGGGAAAAGTATGCGCGACCCAATGACTTACGAATTAGGAATAGATGTACGAACATTTCACGAGAGTGATCACCACAGCCTGGTTCACAAGTCGTTGCCATCCCGTTCTATTGTTCTGTTCATTTGGAGGCATTGTAACGTTGCCTTGCCTATGCAAGAGAGAGTGTGGTCAGCACACAATGAATGCCTGCCTCCTTTCTCAGGCAAGGCAAGGCACGGCACGGCAAGGCAAAAGCTACGGAAGCCTGCGCAAAAAAGCGAAGAGCCGGTGGGCAGGCAGCCAGTGCTTTGCAGGCCCAGTTACTTTATTTACTTCCATTTGTCTGGCCAACCACAACCATAACCATA